GAGAGAGAGAGAGAGAGAGAGAGGAGCTCCCTTCAATCCAAGCATGAGAAGAAGGGGAGCAAGGTCGTCTCCTGATGCATGCCCACCAGTGGGGTGCACCCTGCGACTGCATGGGGTTGCACCCCAAAGGTATTCATGAACCAGCAGAGGGAGATACTCTCTTCCCCTCGTAGATTGGACTGAAGAGAGCTCTTTAGATCCCCCTTCTCTATCTATCTATACCCGAGAGCTGTGGCACGAGAAACACGAAGAAACGAGGTGTGTGGTGATGGCCTTAAATAGGCTCCAAATTGGGAAGATGGTGACAGACGCTGATCTAATGCTGACTGTAGGAGGAGGGTAGATTTCTCTCGATCGCCGAGCGCTTGTTCACGTGAATTTGTATTCATATAGGGAGGAAAGCGAGAGGGCATCTTTGCTGTAGATCTCTTTCCGTAGCTTGTCTTTGTCATCTAATTATGGGAATCTCATGCGCCACCGGAGACAATGCATTCAGCGATTGCTTTGGCATCTCCCTCCTGCAGCTGCACCATCTTTGTTCGAGCTTTGGTCGGCACGATGGCAGTGTTGTGAGCTTTTACCGGTGGGAGCTTTCGGAGAGGGAGAATCGATCCCTCGATGTCTATGTCGATGCATGCTTCGGTAAGTAGATCTCACATTACCTTTCTTGCGTGATAAGCATGATGTCTCCGATCCATCATAGCTGAATCGACAACAGATGTCACTCATGTCGTTTCTTACAGCCAAGAACTGTTCTTCCGGTGACGATGATGACGCTGTCGTCGTTGGGTGGCTCTTCGGTATCTTGCAGTCCTCTTCACGAAGAAGCTTCACTGTAGCTGAAGATTAATCTTGCCCGATCACAACCTGTAAACGCCATGAAAGAATAGACAGAGAGTTCCAAGGCAAGTATACAGATAATTTGCTTTATGGAATGATGGAAAGATGGAATGTGAGGAGGTGACTGCCAACGAAAAGTCAGTCTTAGCATAGAAGCAATCACCAAACAAGAATTGTTCTCGGGCATCGAGGAGAAGACACGCATCGCCAGATTAGGTAGGCAAGAAATACTGGTTTTGGCAAACCAATCGAATGCAAAATTCGTGACCGGGAATTGAAGTTGATAGCTCAGAGTACTTAATTGGCATGCATTTGGTTGAGACATATGTAATTATCAACCACAAAGCTTCAATATAATATCTCATGTTTTGATGCTTCCAACTCTTAAAAGAAACGATTCTCTTTATCTCAAGAGGAGAATCCAAGTCATTGTCTCAAACGCTGTGGGAACAAATGCTTTGTTATTTTGATCACATAAGGCTTTACCTACCTAAATGTTGATGTTAGCTATGAATGCCTTGATAAACCCTTAATAACCTTACTATAATCCGGAGATTTTAGGAAGCACAAAATCTCAAAATGTAGATAGAAGATTTTATCCCACTGGTAGTTGTACTATCGAGTTCTCATAAGAGTCTTCTCAGTACCACCAATTCACCATTACTTGGGTTGAGATGTAGTAGATTACATGTCTGATGATTAAGGTGCATATCAATTATAGCAATTACAACTGCATTAAGGATCACTGTCACTATTGTAGTCTTTGCTTTGATGTCTCTTTGCCTCAGAGAAGAGCGGCATGAGCACTGAAATAGGCAATGCAGCATAACACCATCCGAATACCAAAAGGAGACCCTTATTGCAGTCATCTTGCTAGAGGAAATGCCATAAAGGAAACCCAAACCATGAACAGATCGTCATCCACTCTGCAAAACAACTCGCTGCATACGATGAGAACAAAACCAAGCTACCCCTTCCACTTCACGAAGTACCATGGATGAGATTGAGGTGACTTATTCGTTCTTCCTCACTGTCTTGCTCTAGCCACGGAGGAACGTCTCAAGGATTTCAGACGAGTATGCTTCCCCTCTAATCTTGCCTCAAGCAGCTTTGCCTTCAGAGTGCCCTCTTTCGATCCTTGTGCTGATTTCGACGAGGATTCAGGTGCAACAACCTGGTTGGGAGAGCTGATCTGGTACTTCCATTGTCGAACTGGACTAGTGATCTGGTGAACGTCTCCTGAATCAGTGTCTCCGCCACCAGCTGAACCAAGCTGAGTCCTCCACAATAAATGATTGTGAGAGCTTTCTCTATGATGATTACCATGATCCTCTGGATAGCACTCAGAAATTTCTGAAAGATATCTTAGTGAATTAGCAGTCAGGTGCCTCGAACCACGCCAGCGAGCCCACGTCAGTTTTGTATCGTGCCCATGTTCCTGAGAGCAACGGTAATCAGATTTCTTCGCTCTAGATAGTTCAATATGATCCACTGCCACTTTGTCACTTTCTGCATCAGTAGGAGAGTGTACTCTCTGCACCCTGTCAAAAAGCTGCACTTTGCTTCCACGTAACTTTGTCTTGTCCATTTGTTCGCCATATTCGGACGAATCATCTTTGCTTTCAGAGCATCCTATCTTTTCTCCTGGTAAAGTAGATGTTCTCTTGGAATCCAGTTTTTCTATCCCATTTTGAGTATTTTGTTTCGGCTGGTCACGACTTCCATTTCCGCGAGTTGCCATGTTAAGCTCGAAGCAGTGCATCTCACTCGCAACAGAATCATCATCATCGTCAGCATCATGAGGCGCACTAGTAGTCCCATTTAAGTGGACGGACTCGAGGGATTGGCGCCGCATATTAGTGTCTTTCTTTTCATCCTTTCGGTACAGACGATCATTCCCAAAGGCCCTGGACCTTCTAGCTCGAAGAAAGGATTCAATTTCACTGCTTAGCCTGTCTGTAATTGTTGTTTTTTCAGCCAAATCTCCTTGGTCTTCTGCAATGTTCATCTGAACCCGCTCATCCAGCCATGCTTCTGATATATGAAGTACTAACCGATCTACCTTATGGTCGCAAGCTACTTGAGATTTTTGCTTCAACTCCCTTACTTCCTGCTCATAATCTGTAACAGCCTTAGCAAATTCATCACATAGGTCCTCCAAAGGGCTATTTGTTTTTCTCTCTCTTTCTAGATCTTTCACAGCCTTCATGTATGCTGCATTCACTTCGGACAACTCTTTCCCAAGTTTCCGGTGAAGACTTTCAGAGCGTCTTCGGAGATGCCTCTCATCTTCAAGCTCATCTCGTATCGACTGCACTGCTGCTTTGATCTTTTGTTGCTCCTTGTTCTTTCTAATCAGTTTGTCTTCGGCAACTTGCTTCATTAGATCATCCATTTCATGCCGATAAACATGCTGCTCTTGCATCAGCTCCTGAATGCGTGCCTGCGCATGTTCTAACTCCACCTTCAATGCTTTCACCAATGAGACATTGCAAGCATGTTGTTCTTCCAGGCTCCAAATGCGATTCAGTACTTTCAATAGTTCTGTCGATGTTTGAAGACTATATCCTGCCTCCCCAAGCTTTCCCTTAAGATTGACAGAACTGCTAGGAGTGATGGCTTCACTAATAGCAGCAATCTGCAAGGTGCAGATACATGAACACACAACAAAAATGTTAATACATCAGCAAATACATGTTCCTTTCTTTTATTTTTTCATATAAGAAGCAAAATAAGTTTTCACTAAAACAAAGAACATATGGTTCCAGCAATTTGATATTAAGACATAATCTGCCAATGTAAGACCATTGGTTAACCTAAACTTGTATTGTAGATGCTACAGCACAAGCATTACAGCACACAGGTGTCTATTACATGGCATGCTAGTATCTAAAACTAATGAAATGCCTGGTGCAGTCATGCATGAGAAGTTCACTATATGTACAATGCCAAGACCTAAACGTGCCATGCGAGGAACTGAGAGTCAAATGCCTGAACAAAAAGTCAATCATTTGCTTTTACAAGTTTTATCGTACAATATCTCATGATAAAACTAAATCTGCCTGAAATCAACCATTACAACTCAATTGTTGAACATAGAAAGTTACAAGGCTTCAAACAGAGACCCATATATTAAGTGGACAATTCATTCTTTTGTTTCCCCGATGATAACAGAAGGGGCACCCAAAAAAAAAACCTAGGTTAAAATATTAAGAGGACCCAAGCTGAGAACCTCTTCAGTAACAGTGGGCTAAGGCCTGAATAATGAGTGACTAATCCAAGTAATTAAAATGAAATCAACATGATTACCTCCATAGAACTACTATAACTTGCAGGAGATACAGGTTGTAGGGCTCGACTATTTCTCTCATTCAACTTGTAATGCTTGACCAATGAAGCTGCAACTTGCCTCCTTAAACTACCTGCACTTTGAGGCTGTCACAAAAAATGGAGATCATTAATAGTACAGAGTCCCAATAATTCAGTATGTAAATTCTATCTAACAAATTAATGTTCATTTCATTAATTCATGTCCAAAAAACTAGTAACCAAGATTTCAGGACTAAACTGCAAGATGGAATTACGCGGATGCAACATTATGAGAAAGAAAACAAGGTTGCATGCAGCACACACAGCTTTTGGTGTACGAAATTGTTTTTTTAATTATGACAAGGAAGTCACAACTTATATCATCCTACATCACATGTATATCATTTTTCTAATCTTGTTACCATATTGGGTTGGGATTTAGAGTTTCCACGTTACATGACTGCTTCTGGAGTTTCCCTACAACTATTTTTTGAGTGGCAATTGAATCTTTCAGTTTATATCACAAATAATATCATACTTATTTCCAAGTAAAGCATGAAATTAGGGCTGTTTGATAATTGCACAAACACTAACAAGTCAATGGTGTGTATCAATGTATTATTAAAGGATCGGGTTGGCTTCCTTTACGTATTGATTGTCATGATTTTTGTCTGTCACAGAATGAGGGCTATAGAGACAATAATTTGGTGATCGAGGTATTCTTTAAGATTTGATTATAGGAATGGAATTTATACATAATGCATAATTTGCTAAAACTTGAGCAAATAACTAAGATGTTCTTACAATTCATACTAATTTTGCACGCACCTGATTCTAATTACACATGAAGAAAGGCTCAGAACTTATTATGAGAACAGACAGGCCTAATATATTTTGCTGCAACAAAAAAGTGGATTTGTTACATATGACATGAATATTTCATGTCATGGTAAAATTATGATAAGTAGATTGCATGGCATCCAAATTTGAAGCTTTGTGTGTATCTACAATGTGGATTAAAATTTTCATTTCAGTTTCAAAATAATTGACTGACAATTCATCTTTGGGCCGTAAGATTTTAAACTAGACAAGAGAAAATATTGTATTTTTGAAATGATTAGAAAAGAACAGCAGAAAACTAAGTGAAAGATGCAAAAAGATAATAGTTAAATTAAATTCCACAGGAAGAAGCACTCGAGATCAGTCTCACAAAAAGGTAGTGAGGAAGAGATAAGATGGAAATGAATATGATAAGAGGGAAGAAATAGACGAAGGGAATATTTTTAGATTTCTGTGCTTTTCTAATAAGACCACTGTTGAAAGCTAAGAATAAGCAGCCGCCCTCGTTTCAACCATAATAAAGCTTCTGCCCGCCTAACCATATCAATAAACCATTCAGATTCCTAAAACAAATTTAATAACAACAAACATCTCATCAATGGGAGTCCTATCTAAATTCACAAATAGACATAGAACATATAAAAATCATAGGATGATCTTACAATGGTATCTAGAGAACAGAAAATTAACCTAGATTAATGCTGCATCAGTCTAAGGCTGATGGAGACAGAGTGGAGTTAATCTCTTGGAGCCATCAAACTATAGAACAATCAGCAACCACAGATGGCATATATAACTTGCCACATATAGAAAAAGAATCTAAACTATAAAAGGTAGTACCATAATCATAAATAACCTAAAAATAACTTATGACAGTTCAGAGGTGGCAAAGTTTGCAAGTTGGTTTCATGCATAGGCACAGCACAACATGCAAAATGTACCATGCTGGCAATTATCTGGTATGAAAAGGTGTCTGCATTGTAGTTCTTGGATACACACGCTAACTTCACTCTGATGGTGCCCGAAATGGTCATCCCAAATGAATCCACGAGTACATCATTATGACATAAGCCATACCGGTTCAAATTACCAACTGGAGAAAGAAAAGGCCAAGTTTTTGCGTTGATGAAAGAGCCAGAGAAGGACCACAAATCGATGGACCAGGTTGATTATGATGATCATATATGTAGCAAAGAACATATATAAGTGGTTTTTACCAGGAAACAAGAAACTCTATAAGAATAAGTGCTCCAACAGTAAAGGCCTGAAGTTATCTTTCAGTTGTTTCAACAGCTAAAATTCTTGATGTAATGCTTACTTAAGTGGACCAAATTTGAAGATTTGAAATGTATGCTTATTTCACATACGGAAATGTTTCCTCAACTTTTCTGATTATGACATAGCCTACACCTTGAGAAGCATATATGGGTGGATGTCTTTGTGCAAATAATATAAATAAGCACACACTTGCAACAAGTCCAGTTTTCTCTTCTAGTTCCATTCTAAAATCACATCGACTCCCCAATATCGATTAAGTGGTTAACATCTACATCTACATCTACATCAACATGGAGAGAACAAGGAATCAATTTAATACAAATTCAACACTTTTGTTCTTTTTCAAGTCAAACAGGTCCAGTAGCGACAAGTTCATCAGTCAAGGCAATTCTTGGCAGGATTTCGAATCTTTCTTTTCAGAAAACATTCATATCTTTATCTCAACGAGCTTTATGTGAGATGAAACAAGGGATCACGTAATCAAGGAAGAGACATCGTCAGGTAAGACATTTGATCAAACACTTGAACACTACAGGAAAAGACAAACAAGTACAAGAACATCAAAGCTAGCCACAAGAACCAAGAACCTTACCAGGTCCTCATGACGAACGGCCAAGCGATCGGGACCGTCATCGAGCGCCTTCCCATCGGCATGGCGTCGGATCTTGGCGCCCCTCCGGCTCATCACGGAGACGGGCATCAGGTCCTGGATCTCCCAGAGGTTCGCGCCGAGCTTTCGAGCCGACACCGAGCTCCTCTTGGGTTCGCCCGCGTCGGCGTCCGCAGAACCGGCGTCCCCCAGCTTCCAGGTGGGCACCGGCGTGCAAAGACCGCCCTTTTTCCCCACAGTAACCCCTCTCCTCAGCTTTAAGCCCAAAGCGTCCTCTTTTACACCAGCACTCCCCTCCTCATCATCAATTGCCACCCCTTTCCCCCCTTCCATGGTCCCTTACACCTCTCCCTGCCTCTCTTTTCCTTAAAGATCAAATCTTTTTACCATCAGCAGCCATACGATTTGCCCTTGCCCATTCCCCCCTGCCTCATGCGTCCATATTGCTGACTTTTCCTACTGATCTGCTGCTTCTGGTGCAGCAGCTTGTTTGCTACTAGTACTGTGACAATGGACCCTTTATAGCGAAAAGGGCCTGAGAGTTCCCCGGCAACAGGCTGCTGCTCTTCCTCTCTCTCTCATGGGAATACTAGGGAGAAGTGATCAAGCTGCAAATTCAATGGGGAGGATGGCTTCCAAGGATCATAAAGGAAAAGTCTTTCAGGGTTGGCATGATTTGGTGTGCAAATTGAGTGGGTGGCCCAGCTTTGGAGGGATTTGTAGCCTTGCCATGTAGTCCTTGAGGCCACATGTCAAAGGATGTCGTCTGGGACCAACCTTCGTTCCTCTCTCTCTCTCTCTCTCTATCTCTCTCACATCATTGCAACTGATCCCTTGGAATTAGGAGAATGATCCTAACAACTAATGGTTCCATGGGAGGATTGTTAAGAGGGGAGAACATATGATTGCCAGCAAATAAATGGCAAAACGGTGCGATAAATTCAAATAATACCAAGTTGATAATAATTCATCAAAAGTAATCGACAGATTTATTAGAATCAAATTAACTCCAGTAGATATTGTTAAGAATTCATGTGAAGGACCAACTTACGAAGTCCATAATCAGATGATCGTTAATTGAGCTTGTATTTGTTCTATTATCAAGAATCATTTGCTAAGATCGTGAACAGTTCACTCCAAGTTTCATTCTTGAATGGACGGGCTGCTGGCACTATCAACACCGGAGCTGACGGATGTGATGGACGCTACGCCTACCACACGGCATCCACAACATTACATTTTCGTCTCCCACCGATGGAAATCTCCATTAAACTTCTAGTCCTTGCACTCGTAGGAGGTGGGGACAGACGCTGATCGAAGCCATTGTTTACTCGTCGGTGTCCCAGTGATGTGGAACAGCTGCAGCTCTGTGCCGCCGGTTGCAGGCGTTCCGCTGCTGCCATGGAAATGAAAGAAAGGATGTTCATCCAACTTGGATCAGCTACACTTACACTCACTCCCTGCCATCGGACTCGGAGAAGCGTGCATCGCAAGGTAAGGATTCACTGTGGTCCTGCAGCCAACGCCTCGCTGTCCGACGAAGAAGCTTATACCTCTAAACCCTGAAGACCTCTCACCGCCACCGTTTCCTTTTCTTATGGCCTTACAATATTGCAGGACTACAGTTCTGCCTCGCCCCAGATTTTTTGAAGCAGATGGCATTGCCAACTGTCTTCCACGCTATCTTTCCTCGATCTCTTTCCCGGAATCACAAGCTGCACACAGTAGCCATGGCCAAGCAATGAACGGGCAGTAGCATAGCGCAAATCTTATGAGCTGCATGCATCGTAGTCTTTAGCTCTCGAAAGAACGACGGCAGGGTGGAATCATGGGCTACAGCACGGAAATCTACGGGAGCCCTCGTACTCCCAAAAGCCAACAAGTTTCATGGGACTTTGACTACGAAATCCCCGATGCAAAGGGCGAGACTCACCTGCCTCGCCCGAGATGGGGAACACGGAGCAGAGGCCATGCTTGAGCCAGAATGGAGCTCCATGATGTCAACCTAAACAGTGGATCCTATCACTTCCGTGAGGGGATCCCATGTTCCTTGTCTCCGCCGAGACAGGACAACCCACAAGTGCGGAGACCTTGAGCCTGCAATGATGATCCCCACGTGTTGCTCTCGTTCTACTCAAAGGCATGGGAAGACTGGCTTGGATGTAAAGATGGATCCAAAGCCGTTCCTGGATTTGGACCAGAAGTAGTTTATCGATTTCTGCATACCCAGGGCATGTGAGCTGCTCTGGAATATGGCACTCTTAGGGTTCCAGACTCTCTTGGATCCAATGCTACCCATAGAAGATGAATAGAGCATGTTGGTCTTGCTGCAATCCTGTTTGACCAAGAATAGAGCATGTTGGCCACCATTAACGATGGATCATGCTGTATGTTGATCATGTGTTCATCATCATCATTCTTTAGTTGTAACTAGGGCAGCATCTCCTGACAAGATGCCATTTCACCACCCAGAAAAGCATTCCAGGATGTAGCACTTGACATTCAGTGATTCTGATGCATGATGAAGGATGGTGTGGCACATGATCGTGATATTACAGTTGACCATTGATCCATAAGAAGATAAAAGCCCAAGTTTTGACTCATATAATCTCTGTTGTGAGGAATATTTGTCTCCAAACTTGCATATCTGATTCAGATATCATATCCCACTGTAAACATCACAACTACAATATCAAGAACTCAGATATTTGTGTGTCCAAAATCTAACTGAGAAGTTACCAGCTCAGCTTCAATGCAGATTGTATGCAAGCCATTACTTGCATCATACTTTTGGAAAAAATGATGAAGACAAAAGTATATAAGCAAATTGGATCAATATCAGGTTTTTACAGCATATGATTATTTAATGGCTATTAAACTACAGGGAACAAGAATTCGATAAGATCGATATTACAACTTGCGGTACACTATACACGACCATGAGTAACTCCCACCTTGCTGTTGGCAAAACTTTGAAGCAGAAGCTTCGGTCAGTCTTTTCCGTTGCATCTAAAAGCAAGAACTATGTAAAATGCCATGTAGCATCGGATCCATGAGAATCTCAACAAAGATGGCAGGCAAGAAATGACACTTAACAATGATGTTTCAAAATAGGTGGGCTTTGGATTGGACGGGCAGCCAAGTGATTGAATCAACTCTTCCACAAGCAATACCCGAAACTTGGTCGGTGTGTTAAGGACAACATTGTCTACACGGTGCTCATATATCTTTCCGGTCTTATCAAGTTTGTACTCAGAGGTTCCATCGAAGCGGCCATGAATCTCCCAAGGCACCCGAGGAATGCCGTGAACAATCCAACGAATCATAATAACATTCTCTCCAGGTTGCCATATGCTCACGATGTTGATCCATATAGCCTTGAAGAAAACATGACCATTGAGTCTCAGAGCCCAGAATATCCGTTTATAGTTGTTAATACCAACAAAGGTGTTGAGAGGGTCTTTGAAGACAATATCATCCCTGGTCGATAGCAATATAAATATGTTAATCATAACAAGCATACGGTTCTAATAACATTGTCATACTAAATAGTGTACAAACAAGTAATGCATTTAAAAGGGAAGGTAAAACATGGTAAAATTATGCAATGCAAGACGATGAAGGCCGACATATCTTCACAACTATAACTTTTAAGGTTATAGCACAAAACAAATATAAATTTCATTAGATTTATCATGCACAAGCAAAAGAGAGAAAGTATGGCGCCATTGCCGCCCTCAATCGGAAGGCAGGTAAGCAAAATGGGTAAGCCAAATATGGGTGGAAGTATTTTCATAACTGGAAAGCCTGTGAAGATCATAAATATTCAAAGGCACTAAATAAATTTTTAACATATATAGATTGACCAGCATCTGAAAATATCTAGAATGATGTATGAAGTGGGTAGAAATGTTGAAAAGTTTATAGCTTCAAGGGGCTTGAAGTCAAATTTAGGAGATATAGTAACGGATTATAATGTCATAGCGGGCATAAATTTTTCTAAAGAACCAAGTCGATTTTCAAGTCTTGAGAACCACAATCCCGATGACAATGCTTATAAGGGACCACCCTGCTGGAAGAGAGATGGAAATTCAAAATAAGAAAAAGTCCCCAACTTCAGGGTTGCACTTAATAATTACTTTGCAAAAGTCATAAATGCTCAAAACAATTGTATCAAACACGATACGGGAACAACAATGGGAATCAAAACACCCATCAAACCCACATAACTGAAACAGTAGACATCTACGAATTATTCCTAACTATAAGCCAGTTTCATACTTTGGCTTTGAAGTCTGGTCCCAAATTCTCAAAAACATAAAATCCTCAGCAACATGATGCATACCGAAGATAAAGCTACTTCTTGTATTTTCTCAATAGCATAGCTACTGGAGTTCAATACTCGTTTGATTCATTCCTAGTTCCATTCCAGCTGATGAGTCTATAGCCGTAGAGCCAATCGAACTATTGCCAGTGAGGACAAAGCAGTACTACAAATTCTTTTTTTATATTTTGCACTTAGTTTAATCTCTGGACTAACTAATTGCATGATAAGATTTTGCAGGTGGCAGAGCCGAGAAAGAGCAAGCAAGCTACTTCAAAGCTCTAAATAAATTTCTACAGATTCATATAACTCTGACAGTAAATTGATACATTGAAGTCTACTAAATCCAAGAAAAACGAACTTTGGAATGCAATATTCAATCACGATAAGATAAACTATTCCAACAGATTAACCATTAATCAACGGGAAAAAAATTCCAACTTTTCTAAGAAAAGTGAAGGCATCATACAAAGAGGAACAACAAACCTGTATATATCATAGTTGGGTTCGCGCTGGAAGATATCAGGAAACTCTTCCCTCAAGGTACGAATCGCGTATCCCATGTTGACATAGTAATCTTGCCTCTCGTCGCCGCCATCCGTCTGCTGCTGCTGCGGGCTCACAGAAGGGGACAGAGGAGAAGACGAAGCGCCGTTGAGGAGGGGAACGAAAAAGAGAGGGGGCAAACCTTCATCCCGCAAGGGATCGGAAACCCTAATCACCCTCTCCTGCGCCTCGTCCTTGACCCGGCCATAGGCGCAAACCCTGGAGGGGTTCTTGTTGGGATCACCGCCACCGCTGCAGCTCGGCCGACGGAAGTTTAGGGTTTTGGCTGCACGATTTTGGGTGAGGGTGATCTCGGTGAGAGGGAGGAGAAAAGCCATGGAAACTTTCGATCGAGGGAAAGAGAGAGAGAGACGCTTACATGAAGGTCGGATTGAGAGTGCCGGACAGATTTTGTCAGCGAACAGATAGGAATAAGATTCGAGATATTCCGCTCCAGATAACATGTAAAGGATCGGTTGGTGGGGCTGGGCGGGCCCTGCCTCGACAATGACAGATCATCATGTTATCACCGTCATCATCAGGGTGATAAAAAGATATATAAAAATTAATATTCTATTTCTTATTTCTATAGCATGTTTCTTTGTGGTCTTCAGTATCATAGCGTCGCCGATGTCCTCGTCTCAGAGAAACTGACTTTATTATAATCCTTTTTTTAATATATACACATATTCAAAATTTAAGTTTCATAATAATTTAAATAAATCTTCGTAGAGCATATTTTAGCATTATGTGACAGTACCGATATTGTATATCCGTATCGTGACACCTCGAGCTTGTGCGCGATGGGAAGTCATACCCGTGCTACTCGGGATTGTACAAGGCGGCATCGCCTAACATGGAACCATCCGCGATGGTATAAGATAACACCACACCATGCAGAACCTTGCGGGATGGTCCATGCCGTACGGAACGCACAAGGAATCAACGGTCATTAACGAATCTCATATGATCGATTCTCAACGACAGATATAAAAGTCAATCCCCTTATCAATGCCAAGGGGATCCTTGAACACCAAAATTATCCTAAATCCATATAATTCTAACTTAAGCTTCGATGGGATCAAGTCGAAAATTCTCTTCACAACATTGACTTTTTCTTATCAGGGAAGCAATGAAGGCACGAGCTCAAGTCCTACCTCGAGTCGATCCACGAGGTGCTTTCCCGACCCACCGAGGTTCTTCCGTTGCCACCTTAGACTTCTACGTGAATGACTTTGCGTCTCAAGATTGAATCCAACCATACTGACTCCTCAACCACGATCGAATCAAACCATACTGACTTTGCCACCTTAGACCTTTTTTTTAATTTTTTTTGATAATTTTATTTTATTTTTCGTGATTGCTTGTGCAGGCCAAAGTAGTTAAAGCTCCAAAGGAATCAGAAATCTAAGTACTTGTTTTTTAAAAGGGCTGTCATCGATTGCTGTGCTTGGCATTGTTCGGAATCAGAAATCAGTGGCTATGATATAGCAGAGTTTGACAGTGATAAATTATATTTTAAAAATTATATTAATATATTTATATTTATAAAAATAAAATATTTAATTTTATATTGATTCTATTAACGAAAATATCACAGTGATAAATCAAAATAAGATAAAATCAATACGTACTCAATAATAAATTTTAGAATATTTTTATCAATAAATCATCATTGAAGATAAATAAGATTAAATATTTCACTTTTATAAGTAAAAAATTCTCAATGTAATTTTTTAAAATATAAAAATTAAGATATTAAAAGAAATAATTATAAAAAATAATATGTAATAAACCCATGGAGAGGTGAATCAGAATCCAAATTGCAAAGGTAGCACCAGGTGAATCAAAATCCTAAGTTGCTAAGGTAACACTGGTCAACTTGACGACATTTCCAGGTGCTGGCTGCATGCACTACATTTTACATGTCGCTTGATCTTTAGATCAAATGATATAAGACAAGCTCTTGCTATAACATTACAAGCTTCACTGCCAACAAAGTGAGAATCCAATCAACCACAGGAAGCCTCAGCTCTCTCTCACGTACATACAAAGATCATTGAACCAACCCAGTGTCACTGATAAGACAAAATGTAGAGACATGGACCTCCCACCCTAGAGAGCATAACCTTCAAAATCTCAAAACCATGAATTGTCTCATGAAACATTACACCAAGACACATCTTCTAATTCCCTAGAAAGAACTTGCTGTCATGTTAGAAATCACTGCTTCACAGGTCACACAAGATGTTTCCAGAAAGACAAATGGTATATCCAAGAAAATCGAACCATGTCCAAATAAGATAGAACATGAAAGACCCTCTCAACCTTTTACTTTCTATTCCAAAATGCATAATAAAGTCATAATTCCTTGTACTTTTTGTTTCATGCAAAAGTATAATTCCTCTTGAAGCCTAAAATGCTAACAAGCCGCCTCCTCTGCCAATAAATATAAGTTTCTATCTGATCACAGAAGTTACAGCTGAAACCAGATTCAGATTGAACATAGCATACATCAGAATGCTAACACAGTGTGTGAGAGCATTGTAGTTTGTGCATATTAGTTCTACAGACATTGAAACTACTTGCATCAAGATGATGCGAGCTTGATTATAATAGAGATTGACCTAGAGACGAAAACTTCAAATCACAAAGCTAGATCCATCCAAGTTATAAAGCTAAGTACTGTCTAAACAAGTTGAATATAAGTGTTCTGATCTAACCACAGATAAGCCATGACAATACTAAGAAAGCCACATGTATCCACTGCCAAGCAAAACCTAATACATAACGGAGTACCTTCTACAGTCTAGTGCTTCTTGTCCTTCAACGGACCCCTAGGGATCTTACTAAGAACCTTGTCATCAAGCACAGCATACTGCTTCTTGATCTCTGCCATCGCCTTTTCCGCTGCAGCATCGACCTTATCCTCGTACTTCTCGTAGAGAACTGGCACTGTGTGCAGTGTCACGAACACTGATTTCCAGGAGAACAAGCAACCAGAAGAATTCAGCAGATGCATGTCGAACACAACTCGCAGTAAGTTACACATTACAAAAGCTCACTTACATATGTATACCAAGGTCAAGAAATTGACCGAGCTTCCGACCATCGACAGCAACCAGAGCCCAGCAATCACCTAAAACTCCAAATGTCAAGTACCAAAAAAGGAAAAGGAAAGGCTTGTAGGGATGGCATCGAGAAAGTCAACGTACAGTAAGAAACTTCTTTACATCCCGTCCCAGTGCAACCTCCCTGAGAACAGCTAAGGCCCTGTTCATCTCATACCTAAGCGTGCGCGCAACTTGCACAGCTTGGTCTTCAGGAATGCTCACCTCTGGAATTCGTGGCGGAGATCTGAAATGCAAAGAGCCTCTTTCAGTCGTTCATTCACTTCAAGATGAAGACTAGAAGATCAGAAAAGCCCTACTTGTTGATAAAGGTGCAAGCTTTGGACCACAAGAAGAGGATCACTAAAGAGAGTATGAGGCCATGGCACACAAAAGTCAACAGATGGTAGCCGACTAACTCGAACATAACCCAAATAGCGGTAGCAGCGCTGAGAGCTCCAGCTGAGATCTTCTTGTCCCTCCACAGCATCACATCAGCAGCTAAAAGCGAAGCAAAAAGAAGCAGAGGAAGCAATTAAATAACAAATATATGACATAATCAAGAAGCAAAATCTTTCGTTCTTTACATACCACGCAAAGATATATTTCTTTAATTAAAACCCAACAAAAAATAGCTTTTTTTTATTGATTATCCTCAAGAAAAGCAATACGAACATCTTTGCCCTAATTGTAACCGAAGAAGCAAACGTTGATTCTTGATCTAGTTGATCACGTAAAGATCGAGTATTTTTGGCTAAGAATCGAAAAAAAACTTTTTTTCTGTAGAATACAAACATTTTTTACACAAAGAAGATGAGCAATACCTTTGCCTCGAAGGAACCAATAATTAAGCCAGTCTAGAGTTCATAACCGGAAAGAAGAACTACGCAATACTCTAATTGGCATCATATCTGTTTCCTACTCTTTCCCCAAAAAATCGATAATCCCAGCAACTTTCCGGAAGAAGAAATTAAACTGTTATTATATCACTAGGGGAGCACTACTACACTTCGAATCAAGTAAAATACAGACACCAAGCACGATTGATCCGATCTACACGATTCCAAACAAAGTCACCACACAAAAAGATTCAAACTTTACCCAAGATGCGATCAAAAACCGATCCAATATTTTCAAAAAAAAAAAAGCAGATCACAGAAAAGAAAAAGAAGGAAGAAAGTTTGTCCGATCGCTACATTTGCCGCCACCGAGCACTTGGTGGACGGGCTTCTCCCTGCCGAAGAGGCGGTAGACTTTGGCTTTGACGGAGGAAGACTGCACCGGCTCCTCGCAATCGGACTCGGAATCGGAGGAGGAGGAGGAGGAGCCAGCAGGTTTGCGTGGCTCCTCCTCGATCTTCTCCGTCACGGTCGACTCCTCAGAATGCTCCGCCATGAACCGCTCCTCGACTTCGCTCCTCCTTTCCTATCTTCTACCGTGAGAGATGAGTCATCGGCTTCGAGGCGTTTCCTTTTATGGCAACACAAATCAGAGAATGGCGAAGAGAAGCGATCAGAGCCGTCCGATGATGACTCGTGTAAGACGCAGCCGAGCGCTGCTCGAGGTGCGTTGGCGTTTCCAGAAGAGTCAAGCCGAGTCGACTCAATTCTCGATCCGGTCCTCGATGGGTTCGGGTCATTCAACATTTGATCCACGGTCCACTATGATTGACTGACAGATAGAAACAGGTCGGCCATTGCCTGCTTTGGCTCCGTTAATGAGGAACAACGCTATCCTAAATCGTCTAATATGTGGCGAGCAGAGGGGTGTCCGGCACAACAAACGCGACACGTGCATATGGTGGTATCCTGCCATAGATAGTGTCGCGGTCCTGGGAAATGATGATGGGATGCACGTGGAACGCCACGTAGTGCGCCAACACAAGATTGGGCTGAAATGGGCCATCCAATTTTGCAGCATGATCTCCACAGCCCAGTCTGCCGCTGGATAACGGAAGCACTGAAGCGTGGAAGAAAGAGGAGAGAGAGAGAGAGAGGAAGATGAAAGAGATGCGTTTGCATGGAAATGGATGCCGGTGGATGTGATATCAGAACCAGTTCCAACCCCCGAGAAAATTTATCTTGAGAAGGGTTTATTCTCTGGGATCAACCAGGAAGAGGAAATTATTTGAGCAGGACGATGGTGGACTGCACAGCCCTGTTTGGCTACTAGAAAACAGAGTCATGTGAGCAATACGTCGAGCCAAGCCGGCGCAGAAGACTCTGCCACCGCCACAGCCGCTTCCCCCCAACAGCATCAAACCGAATCGAGAGCGCGCACGCGACGCGAAGCAGGGGAGGGCAGCTTTAGAGGGGGAGGAAAAGGCGCATCTCGCTCGCACTCCGACAGTGCTCCCCACGTAACATCTGATGCTGATCGGACGTAGCGCACGGGCTCACCACCACCATTGATGAGGCTCGTCAGCGCCCCGACTCGTCCTCTCGCCGTACCGTATCATATTCCGCTCTGTCCCTCGCTCTCGACCTCCTCTTCCCCTCCCCCTCTCTCTCTCTCTCTCTACCAACGAGGAGATGAACAGTTGATCGCCATCACGCCGCAGTCGCATGGTCCACAGTCATCAACACCATCATCACCAAGGCAGAGGAAGAAGACGAGAGGGAGTGGGCAGGGATCCACTGCAACCCTCCTTTCAGTTCCAATTTTGAAACGCGCACACGACGACCGCGGACTGACGGGGGCCCACGTCCAAGCAGGTGGACCCCAAGCGGTCTGGACCGTCTGATGGGGATACCGGTTCCGTGCTCTGTGTACAGAATCCGGACGGTCCCCTTCTGTTCTTCTCGTCCCTTCATCTCAGACGCAGTCTTGTCCTTCACTGAAAGAAAAAAAAGAAAACTTCTTATTTTTCCTATTCGACAATTAAATAAATGAAAAAATAAAATAAAAAATCAATTCTGGTTTTGGGTGTGGGACCCTTAATAATTGTGCCGCTTAACTGGGACCCACAGAGCAGCCAGTGTCTATTTTCTGGGAGTTGGTCCTTTATCTCCCGTCGTAATGAGTGACTACACAGTTCGCATAAAACCTCGTTTAAAATCTGCAAAAAATATGTATTTGTATTATTTTGAAGCTAAGATAAACTAAAAATACTACGGTAATAAGGTGTACGGGTTGATGGTTGGGGACATATGGAAGCGGAGGTTGGACCGGGTTCCACATAAGGAAATATTTCCCGTGCAAGCCGGTATTGATCTGGAACTTGAAATGTGGTGTATTGACCCAAAATTTGCTTTTAATAGAAATGTTGACTCGATTCATTAAAACCCATTACGAAAGGTGGTAGGTCGACGGACATGGTCGCGTTCTAAGTCGCCCGCTCCTTAGGTCGACTGAATCACCCCGGAGCGATTTCCCGGGCCGATGTGTTTGTTAGTGTGATGCTGTGGGACCCGGGCGGACGGGCCCACGCGTATTTAACTTGGTTTTCGTGGTTAGGGAGAGAGAGAGAGAGAGAGAGAGAGAGCGGGGGAGGGGACGCTGAGACGTACTGACAGCAGCAGCTGTAGCAGAAGAGGAGCGACGAAAGAGACGACTCCAGGAAGAAGCGTAAAAGGATTTAAAAGGTGGGAAAGAGACCCCCCGGTGTGTATGAGTCCCCCGCCGGCCATGGACTCGTTCGGCTTCCTCAAATACCTGCGCAGCGGTGGCAACGCCACTAGCCCGGCCATGGACGACGCGGCAGCCGCCGTGGAGCCGCACGACGCCGGCGCCACCATCGCCACCTCCGTACTCTTACCCTCCGACGATACCGAGGACGACGACGACGACGACCACGACCAGGACGAAGGTCCTTTCTTCGACCTCGAGTTCGCGGCCGTGACAGACGACGGCGGCTGCGAGGGGGAGGACGAGAAGAACGGCTCGGAGGTTGACCTCGACGGTGCGGAGGCGGAAGGAGAGGAGGAGGAGAGGGAGTTTAACTTTGCGGTGAGCTCCGACGGAAGCGGAGGAGGCGACGGCGGAGATGGGCACGGGTTCGACACCTTTTCTCCCTCCCATGACGATCTCTTCTTCAAGGGGAAGCTCGTCCCCTTCGACGCTTCTTCCCTCGTCATCGCCGCCGCAGCCGCCGCTTCCGCTGCTTCCGAGGCCGATCCCAAGCCCCAGTTCCCCGCCTCCTTTCTCAGAACCGCCACCAAGTTCCGCGTCTTCTTGCTTGGGCTCCGCAAACCCAAACCAACGCCGGCAGAGCCCAATGCCACCGCCGTCGTCGCCGACGCTGAAGCTCCCGCTTCCGCTCCCGTCCCCGCCGAAGCCCCTGCCCCCCCAGCCACGGAGGCGGCGGCGTCTCCTAAGAAGCAGTTACCTCATCAGAACAAGTTCTTTATCAAGTTCAAAGTGGTGGAAGCTCCGATCGTTTCGTTCTTCGCCCGAGACAGCAGCTCCCGCAACGGAGGCGGCGGCAGCAGCGCCGCGAAACCTCTGCCTCCCGCGGATGAATCCACCGTTGCCGGTGTGGCGGCGACGGAGGCAGAGGAGAAGAAGTTGCTAAAGGAAGTGCTCCAGAAATATCTCAACAAGATCAAACCGCGGCTACCGCCGCCTCCGACGGAGGAGTCTGCCGTTGCATGCGCGGCGGCTGCGGAGGCAGAGGAGAAGAAGTTGGTAAAGGAAGTGGTCCAGAAGTATCTAAACAAGATCAAGCCGCTCTATGTTCGGGTCTCGAGGAGGTACGCAGAAAGGTTGAGGCTGGCCGGGCAGCTCCCTCCCGCCGAAGCGATGGCGGCGGAGGCGACTACCGGCGAAGGGGAGGAAACGGACGCGGAGGCAGAAGTCGCAGTGCCGCAGCCGCGGCCAGCAACTGCAGCGGTTGCGGCGGCGGGCGGGGGCAAGAGCCTGGTGGCGGGGCTGAGAGTGGCGTGCAAGCGGCTGGGGAAGAGCCGGTCTGCGTCGTCGGCCGTGGAGGCTATCCCGTCGCCGCCGCCGAGTCGGCGAGACGACTCGCTCCTCCAGCAGCAGGACGGTATCCAGAGCGCCATCGCGCACTGCAAGCGGTCCTTCACCGCCGCGGAGCAAGGTATGTCTCTGGCGAGACATCACGCTGTCCCCATCATCGTTTGTTTCGCCTATACCAAGCAAGTTTACTACTATATGGTTCCTCTGCAGGTTCCGAGTCGCCGCTGGTGAGATCGATGAGCGATCCCGGCGACGGGAGATCAGAAACGACCACCGCGTCGCCCTAAGCATCGGTTCTCCACCGCAGCCAATTCCCCCATCCCCTGAGAGTGCGCACGTAGAAGAAGCAGAAAAAATCTATGCGTTACAATTATATTCCATCGTCTCTTTTCAGTAGTTAGTAAGTTAGCCTCGTGATCATAAAGTTCATGTCCGTTCTCCGTGAAGAACAAAGCCGCCGCCTCCTCCTCCCGAACAGTATAGATTTCAGGTGGTAGAACATGCAGTGTGAAGAGTGCCGATGGGGGTGAAGAGGGGATGGTAAAGAGGGGACTTTCTCTCGGTTATTCCCATGCCATGCGTGAGGAGGAGAACAAAAGAGACAGAGATGTGAAAAATCTCTCCCATGGCATCGGGAAAGCTGCCATCATCTTTCCCCAATCTCATTGTAATATATTGAGCACTGATAGGCTCTGCCACGCAGTGCAACTGCTTCTGTACCAATCAATGTACTACGCCTTGTATCTTTGCCGTCTCTTTAGCTTTCTGCTCTCTTTCCCATTCACTACTTTCCTGGCGTGGGTGGTCACAGCTACCTGAAAGCCCGCTGCTTTTTATGTTCTTGGAAGAGAAAAAGCAAAGCGCCCGAGTCCCGCAGAAGAAGGTGGGAAAGGAAGGAGGGGTGAAAGCGCGAGCTCTCCTTCCCCTCCCTCTTTTTCTTGCTTCTAGGTTTAGGCTAGGTTGATGGCAGGGCTTCTCCATGCCGAAATGACACCTCGTTCCTCGCGAAACACTTTGCTGCTGCTGCCTTTCTTTACGCTCTCAATGCTGCAAGTTTGACACGTTAGGGATGCAGTTTGTCTGCTTCCATGCTTGCATGGGACTGCACGGCCTCTGCATTAAGACCTAACATTGTAGCTGAAGCCCGGAATCTCGACCAAGGTGTCAGCCTTCTGATCTCATCCGTAGTTAACCCTAAGCGAATCCAATGCTCCAAAGTTACACCGCCACCTTCCTCGCTCCTCCTACCCTCAACTAATGCGCAGTGCGTCCGTCTTGGAGCTGAGCTTGGTGGCACTCTCGAGCACCGTGGCGTTTCGGGTGGGGAGTTGGTGAGCGTGCAGCAGTAAAGATCGCAATGAACTCAACTTCGACCATGGGCACCTCCAAGGAATGGGATGACGGTGACCATGATTCTTGAATCAAAGAAGCATATGAGCTTGTCTTTACGGGAGATTATTATACAGTACAGTAAATGGTGGACCAGATTTGCATGATGCAGATGTGTGTCTCTTGTCCTGCCATTGGGAATGGACGACGCC